GGGAGCGGGCGGCGGGGCCGGTACCGCGCTCCTGGCTGACCTCGCTGAGCCACAGTTTCCCCCGTCAGCGTGGGGAGATGAGGGAGTCATTTCCCCACCAACTTCCTCACGCCACGAGCGGCGTTTGCATTGGCCCGCCATGCGCCCCAGCCGTGCCGCCTGCCTTCAGGGCTGGAAGCCTTCTGGCGCCATCGGCTTTCCTGGGGTGGCCAAAGATCCATCGTGCTGCCTCAGGGCCTCCCCACCCCGGTGACCGCCTCGCTTCCAGACCCTTCTGCTGGCCAAGGCCTCATGGCAGGCAGGCTGGTCAGGGTGTCACGATCCTCCAGCTCTGAAAGCTGGGGCGGTGCATGTCTCCCCGGTGTTATCCCGTGACCGTCCCCTCCCTCGGCCCAGTCTGACACGTGGCAGAGGGGCAACAGAGGAGCGATGGAGTTGCAGGGCTTCACCCTGCTTCAGGGAAAGCCAAACCAGACTGGACATACGTCCCTGACTACATTTTAGTAATTATTTTTTAATCGGACTTTCTGTCCCAGTTTTTAGTAAGACGGTTCTTCCAGGCAAAAGGAAAACAAATCATGCTAATTTGGCACATCCGTTTTACAGCTTCTGTTAAGGCTTGACTTTAACCTTTTAACATCATTATGCTGGGATTCAGAGAAGAGCACCCTCAAAGCTTTGGCAGCAAAGGAAGGGAGTCAGAGCGCTGAACGGGGGAAGTGACGGGCTGAGCATCCGTACCCACAGTTTCTCAAGCGCTAAACTGCTTTTTTAGCAGCTGAAGCTTCTCCTCCAGGTGTAAAGAAAGGCCTTCTTAATTTCAGTCTGGTAACTAATATTGTATAAATTCTAAAACAGATGGCTGCTAAGGAAGGAAAATGCTTTTCACCTTCCCATCTCTGAATAGACTAGAAGATCAAAAGAAGTAGCTACTTGTAGAAGTCAGCAAACAGTGGTCATATTAGTTGCTTCAATTAATTAGCCACAGATAACACTTCCTTCACTTGAGAGCCCAGTTTGAAATCCAAACCCATTTTTCAGTAAGTTAATATTTAAGATAATTAAAGAGTTTTCTGCATCTAACTGAAGTTATGGTCAGCATCCAAGCAGTTTCACACAAAATCATGAAGATTGAATTAATCAGCCATTAAATATCACCCTCTGGCAGGAAAAAAAAGAGTAACAATAAAAATAACCAGTCCTCAGATTATTAGAGAATTCCTTAAATATCTATGTCCCTTGTTGTTAGCATTAACAGATACAATTAAATTTGTATTAAGCTGCAATTCAAAAGTGTTCAAAGATAACCAACCATTCTGAATTAGCCTCTTTCAAATATCCAAAACAAAATTAAAAATAAGTAATTCTAGTCAAGGTGTTTTGCATGCTGATTTAAAATGTGAGTGAATCCGTGATTGGGAGGACTTTTAGTCCATGCAGTGTGCTATTGGTGTGAGGATTTGGCAGTTTCTTCGTATTGCACCTCATTCCCCACTAATCTCCTTTCTGGAAAAAAGGTACCCTGCCAGCCCTATCCTTCACAACTTGGCCTATTCCTTCATTTTGCCAGGGACGATAGCATTGCTCCATTTCTTCCCAGGCATCATTTTTCCCCCTTCCTCAGTATCCCTCACAGTGTATATCTGAGTCTTTTGTAAAATACGAAATGGTATTTTTTTTTTTTTTAATTAAAGAGGAGCAAGAACAGTGAACGTAGAGGTCAGCTTAGATGTTAAGACTTCAAACTCTTCAAGACAAGGACTGTCTTTAATTTTTTCTGTTACAGCTCCACGTGGATAATTAGCAACACACAAGTAAAATAAACAGTGAAAATGTTCAAATCACTCCAAACTATCAGCAGAAACTGGGTTAAGTAAAGGCAGGCTGTCCTCAGGCTGTCCTGCATAATAATATTTCTAGGAGGGAATCTAGTTCTCCAGCCAACAAGCATTACATAGCTCCATTATATAGACATCTCATAGTTAGGGTATGCAAAGTATATACAGAATTCCCCACAAACCATTGCCAAGAGGAAGGCAAACTATAGCAGATCTATCCTTCTCATTTTCCCGCCTTACTCCCGAAATAGAAAAAAAGAACGGTTGGGCCTCTGGTCCACAGTGGTTTCTTATTATCATGAAAAGAGGCAGGACAGTGACAGCTAGTAAAGTTACTACTGACTAGTTACAGGAAAAAAAAAAACCAAAACACACACACAAAAAAACCCAAACACAAGCACTATGCAATTTAATTTTGTGCATTCAAAGAAATGGATCAGGGTGTAAATTAATTTGAAAGGAGAGTGATACTTCTTTCAGGAATCTATAGGCATCATCTACTAAGGACAAAAATAATTGAATTGGAAAACAAAGTGAGAACAGGATCAATTTAGAAATCAGGTCTTTTTGGCCGAGATTAAAACATTCCTTTTTTTTTTTTTTCTTCAAAGATGCATTAACACTGTTCAGTTTGCAAGCAACAGTAGGGTGGCAAGAAATTAAGAAAGATACCATGTGATTTAAGGACATTCTGTATGGAAGATTATTATTACTGGCTAAGAAAGGGCAGATTTAGGCACAGTGATCTGAGACAGAGAAAGCTCTTCAAGAAAATAATGGGAGTTCCTTTGCTTTGCACTATAATTAGGCATATGAGGTCATCCGTTACAACTCAGATGTATGACCCTGTTCTCAAGCATTAATGTTCAAACGATCAGTACCTGCAGCGGTAGGGTTGATGATAGCATTAAATCTAATATGTGTCCTCATTGTCCATTAACTCTCCTGAAGCAATGAACAACTTTAATAAGGGGGTGAATATCAATATGTTTAGCAATAGAGTAACGGTACTGGGGTAACTCTGTGCTAGTAGTAAAACACACCTACAGTCCTTGACAGTTTTTTTTTTTATAACTTGCTGTTCTTCTCTCCTAGGTGGTTGTCTTAATTATTGAAACACAGTGCAAAAATGATACTAAAGCTCTAATACACATACTGTACAATAAATTAATTACAAGGAGGATCATTGCTAAGAGGGAAATTAAGTGTAACCCGGATGAATACAATTTAGGTGATCAGCATTGCAAGAAATGTGAGCGTGGTGAGTATCATTATAAGATTCTGTTGAAAAATCTTTAAGAGTGGAAACCACAACATACACAATTGCTTTCTGCTGGGATAGCTAAGTGTCATGCTGTGGTTTCCTGGATGCAATGCTTCATTCCAGCTGTATCTTTCTCTATTACAGGACACCAGACATTTCAAAAGTATTTCTTGAGCTCAGTGCACCAGTAACTTTTCACTACAGATAGTAGTTCTCATATAACATGCTTGTCACAAAAGAGCCAAGAATTACATACACATCTTTGAAAGAGGCGAAAAAAGTGCAGCCACAGGCTTTTGCCTACAAGACTCCGTATATTCCTGGGTTTTCCAAGTTTTGTTTGTGGTGTTCTCCTTCAGTCCTAAATTGGAGGAAGAGGGGGGATAATCAGATCTTATGTATACTACATTCCTGAAGAGCATATATGTATGCTTAAAGAATATAGATTCTGTCCATATTTGTAAATAAAAAAGTATTAGGGATTAAAAAGAAAGTCTGACATAGGTCTTAGAGCTGATGGCTTCTGTCTAAAGGTATTGTAAATCTTAATTCTTGTTTTTCTGTCTCTACAGGTTTTGTTAAAAATACCTGCTGCCCAACAGATATCAGCAAACACTGTGTTCCATGTGAAAATGGAAAGGAGTACATAGATCATGTCAATGATTCAGACGAGTGTTTGAGATGCTCTTCATGTGACAGCATATTCGGTACGTCTGTAGAAATAGCAACTCAAGCAATGACTCTTTTTTGATACAGGATTTGACTGAAAAGTCTCCACAATCCCCGAATAGTGGCTAGCGTGCAGATTAAAATGTTTTAGTGGTAGTACATGAAGGAATTTATGACAAAATCATAAATTCATCCCCCGGTTCCCTTTCGTCAGGCACAAAGTAGGAAGAAGAACAAGGTGTGCGAGTCCATTATTTCTCCTTGTATCCGCCTTTGCTCAGCCAAAGCAGTCCTTGCAAAGCAGACCCTATGCGAACTGGTTAGAGTCAAGGAAGAAAAGCTCTCTCTCTTCTTTGCCCTCTATTTAAAAGAAGAGGGGTGTTGTAAGAAGTAGGGATGGGAGAATTCCCAATGGTTTCTTTCGTAGTCTTTCATGTAATTAATAATATTATTTAAAATTGCTAGAGCTGATAGAGTGATGTCTTTTATACATTCAAGATGCTGTGTGGGTTATAGGATCAAATTATGAGACTATGAGGCATGCCCTACTGGGTCAGACCAGCGGTCCACCTGTCCCAGTATTCTGCGTTCAGCAGTGGAGGAAAGAGATGCGATTTAGAGAAAACAAACCTGTCTAATTTCTGTGATCTGTTCCCTGCAAAGTCTACCAGCATCCACAGTTGTGGGAAAGGACGTTAGAAGGTCCATCCCTACCTAGTCATTTTAGTATCCATTTATGAGCCCTTTGTGCATGAATCTGCTTGGGGACACCAGGTTCCAGAAATTCACTACCTGTTGCGTAAATACCCATTACAGATTTTTTTTCTTTTTAAATCCATTAAATTGATCTCCTACCAGTTCCACCAGGTGTCCTGTAGTTCTGGTATACCTGGATTTAGGGAATGATAGTTCTGCATTCCTCTCATCCAAAATCAAGTTTGGTGAGCGGAGAGACAGCTCATAACTCCAATATGGTTGTACTCAGATCACCTGCTAGAATATCAATCTTTAGTGCTTTCCCCTTCCTGTAACACCTCCATATGCATAGAAAATTTTCCTCTCATTAGCTACTATAATAAGCATTTTTGGATGGGTAATGAAGTTGAGTACCGCAAAACAATTCAGCATTTTTTACAGTGCCACAAAGGAAACTATTAGTTAAACTGAAGGGGAAAGAAAGGGTAATGGGATGACTAGTCACATTTTCCCATGGACAATAATGTAGTTGAAGAGAGGTCAGTAGAAAACATTAGGCAGGAGGAAAATTACCACTGAAGTTCCATGAGAACCATTCTTAGGATCGTTCGTGTTTGATATTTTCATGAATGGCTTCAGCACTGGTTTCACAGTAGAGCTTCATCAAATTTTGGAAGATAACATGTTTTCCCGTTACAGGAGGCCACTGAATGTGATAACTCAAAAATTCGCTTCTATTCCTATATGCCCATGAAAATAGCTTTCATAGTAGGTAGATACTTAAAGTAATTTTTAATGCAGAAATAATTTTTGAGAGATGGTGATAGCTTCATCATATACACTGACGATAGGAGACAATTAATTCACTTGTTCTGATACTTAAGCAGGCAATATGTTAGCTAAAAGAGAGAGTGGAATTCCTCACCATTGGAGGACCTCAAGAAGAGATAAACTTGTCTGTCAGGAAGGGTAAAGAACTTGTCTCTGACATCAAGCAGGGAGACGGGTCACGTGATCTTCTGAGTTTCCTTCTGGCTTTACACTTCTGAATGGGAAAAAGAAGCTGACAACGTTTGGCCAGGCCAAATGAGTCCTCTTCTAGCAAGTACTTTATGGTGTGATCAGTTTTTTGAGCTCTTGGCCAGCAGAGGTCTCTTTGCCATCTCCATATTTCCAGTACTCCGGCAGCAGGGCTTCTTAGAAAAGCTATGTTGTTTTTACAGTTAAGCCACCAGTGCCAGCAGTGGTAGAGCTAAAAGCACGTAAGTCTGAGGACAAGAGCTTGTGAGCAGAGGCCTGCTTTTAAGCCCTACTTTTTCAAACTAACAAAGTTTAAGGAATTTATTTTAGGTTTGGAGGTTGCAAAGAACTGTACCCCATCACAGAACACGGAATGCACCTGTGCAGAGAACCATTTTTGCAGTTCTGCACCATGTAGGCACTGTGATCCATGTACCATGTAAGTTTATGCCTTCATCGTTAAATATGAAATTGTTAATATCATATGTTATCACACTTTTTTCCAGCCAGCTTCAAGACAGAGGCTGAGGTAATGTATAACCCAAGGGAAAACATATTAGTTTTCCTTTGCACTTAGCTTGTTGAGCTGACTTAGCTCAGTCAACTTGCATCCACACAGGCTTTCCAAAGGCACGCATAAAAACTTGTATACATCCACCAAGTCTGTATATACTTTTCAAAAAATGTAATGAAATATCTGAGCTTTCCTGTTGTCTTTGTGTGATCTACTGTTACATCTAGAAAATCATTTCCACACCTTTTTCCACTCCCATACCTTTCCATACCATTTTCATACCTATTAAATTCCAAACTCCAACATCTTGATATATGAAATATTTAGCTGATTAAAAGTGTTAGAAGATTTTGATTTGCTCTGTTGACAGAGTTTATAAAGAGAGAAACAAATCCCATAATAATTTTTGTTCATGTTTTCTGCAGATGTGAAAGTGGTGTAATTGAAAAACAGTGTACTTCGACTTCAGACACTGTGTGCGGAATGAAAGGTACCATTTTAAAACCTAGCATGTCTGGCATCTGCTGTATCTTGAGAGGTTATTGCAATTGTACTGTTCTACACAATGGCCCATAGTCATTCCTGACAGCTAAGGGCATCATATCCACTGGGCCCTGAACTGACCTGCGGAGCATGATTGCTCTTTTCCCTTGATCACTGTGCAGATGTAGGAGCTAGTACTCCTTTTTAGGGGAAACTCATGATAGGTAAGACTTAAACAAAGAGGTAGCTTCTGCCATTACAAGACAACAGAAAGGCTTTTATAATCTGACGCAATGTTGTTTAAAATTTAGAGTGTGTTGCTGTATGGCATTTCTTGACTTAACTTTCATGTAAATGTTTCCAATGTTCCAGCAGAAACAGGAGTGCTATGGCTGGCCATCTCTTTGACACTTGGCGTTTTAGTACTAGCAGCAGTAGCTGGAGCAATATTCTGGTGTAAGTGATTCCCTATTCCTTATTCCTATCATACTCTGAATAAGATATTCAGCTGCTTACTTAGATGTAATTTTATATTCTTGTAGTCCAGGGGAGAGAGATACTCTGTCCTGGATTTTAAAAATGCTTTTTTGTTTCAGACAAGAGAAAACAGAAGGGTCATACTAACAAGGAGAACCTGGGTGAAGTAGTCCCCAAAACAGAGGCTTCTTATGTAAGTATTGTTGCTTAGATCACAAAAAACTCAGCTTCATGCAAGGAACTTTGTTCCATTTAAATTACACTGGGACTCCCCAGGCATGTGCATGCCTCTCTTCTGTGACATTAATGAAGTAAACTTCACCATGAGGACTCTTTTGGGGGAAGTAAGAGAAACCCTGTATTATTTCTTCAGGATTTGTTGACATGCTTCCTAAGTTACATGATGAAGATCAAAACTTCATAAATCATCAGGCCTCCACTGACCCAGGGTACCTGTCCCCATGCATACTTTTAGGCAATAGCAATTGTGAGGTGATTCCCCAAGCTTACCCGAGTCAAAAGAGGTCTGTCTGTCCAATCTGATTCTCTTGCTCATAAAACAGGGGAATCATGGAGAAAACTAAAAGCAAATTATGGAAGTCAAGTGTCATGAAATGTGTTTATCCTCTTACACAAGGTTGGTGTTTTACAAAACTTGTTTCCACTCATTTCTCTCTTGCTTCTCTTTTCAGGAGAATGTACCTCTCATATACACAGGTAAGAGACAAGTAACTTCTCAAAATTCAGTAAAAGAAAAAAAAAAACCGACGTGTAAATCCTACACTAAAAAAAGGGTATTTTTATGTAGACTTTGCCACTGCCTAGAGCTGTCATTCTAGCACAACAGTGAACACTTATTACAGAAATGCCAGTTCATATTGTGCTTATTAAGGCATTTAGTGGTATCATGAAAGTTTTGCCTCAGGAGGAATTTCTGTTGTATAGGAAGCAATTACTAATTGACAACAGGTGAATTTCTGTTCTGCATGTGATACAGACACTAGGAGGCAGCAAGCTGGATTTCTCGAATCATGGATAATTATGATAATGGCATAGTCCCACACCCAGCAGTGGGATCGCAGAAACACAGACCTACCTTATGTTCAAGGGCAAATCTACAGTAGTAACACACAATAGCAAAAGAACATAAGCTCCAAGACTGTATCACAACAAAAGACCTATCCTGTTCCAGGAACTTTCCCAACACTATTTTGAGCAAAACAGGTACGTGAGGGATGACCAGACTTTAATGATAGAGAAGGACAGAATAGGCTACAGAGGAAACTGAGGTTCTATTTCAAGTGGTAGAAAGCGATATGGATGCAACCCTAAATATTTGAATTACCTAGCATTTGGTAGGACCATGTAAAAGCAGACCCGGTACATATTGTAAAAAGTCATATATAAGCATACTGAGTCATGAATACCTGAAACTTAACCTGTTTTGGATAGGAAAAGTATCAACTCTGAGCGCAGGTGATAAAATCAGTAAGATATAAGTCCCAAGAGCATTAATTTCCTTTTATGCTTCTAGATGTTGACCTGAGCAGCCACATTGCTGGTATTGTGGAAGAGATGACACTCCAAGATGTCAAGACATTTGTTCGTAATCACAAAGTACCAGAACCTGTCATAGATCAAACTGTTCGGGATTATTTTAGTGATACATCTGAACAGAAGATTAAGCTGTTTCAAGTCTGGTATCAAAGACATGGGATAAAAGGAGCCTATGGAGCCCTAATAAGCAGCCTGAGAGAGTTTAAAATGTGCACTGCAGCTGATAAAATTGAGGAAAAAATGAAGGCAGCTGTTTCCAGCTGTCAGGAAGGGGGACAGTCTTATCATGATGACACTGAGCAAAACAAAATCTGCACTCGGGAAGGTAGAAACTCTTACAGTGATAGTGCTGAGCAAAATAAAACATATTCTGGTAGTTTGGAAGAGACATAGCACAGAATCATTTGAAAATTATTTCTGACTGAATTAGCGTTTTTCTAGTAATAACAAAGCTTTTAAATGCCACTGATTGATACAAGGAAGTTATAATATGAACAAGAAGTAATTATGATTTTTGTAGCAATATCTTTCACTTAAAAGAAGTTTTAGCTTTTTTTTGGTTGTTAAGAACTGGGAGAAGTTTTATGGCTTATTTACTAAAAGGTACGATATCGGAGTCCAGCTATAGGATTCACTACAAGAAGAAGTAGTCATTATTTGAAGAAAAGGTTTAGTCTAAATGTATGGTCTACATCTGAACAGAAGATTAAGCTGTTTCAAGTCTGGTATCAAAGACATGGGATAAAAGGAGCCTATGGAGCCCTAATAAGCAGCCTGAGAGAGTTTAAAATGTGCACTGCAGCTGATAAAATTGAGGAAAAAATGAAGGCAGCTGTTTCCAGCTGTCAGGAAGGGGGACAGTCTTATCATGATGACACTGAGCAAAACAAAATCTGCACTCGGGAAGGTAGAAACTCTTACAGTGATAGTGCTGAGCAAAATAAAACGTATTCTGGTAGTTTGGAAGAGACATAGCACAGAATCATTTGAAAATTATTTCTGACTGAATTAGCGTTTTTCTAGTAATATAAAACAAAGCTTTTAAATGCCACTGATTGATACAACGAAGTTATAATATGAACAAGGAGTAATTATGATTTTTGTAGCAATATCTTTCACTTAAAAGAAGTTTTAGCTTTTTTTTGGTTGTTAAGAACTGGGAGAAGTTTTATGGCTTATTTACTAAAAGGTACGATATCGGAGTCCAGCTATAGGATTCACCACAAGAAGAAGTAGTCATTATTTGAAGAAAAGGTTTAGTCTAAATGTATGGTCCTGCATTACTTAACTGATGTAATGTTTTGCTTACATTAAAATTGTGGGATGTTGCATTTTTCAAAGTGAAAACTGATGTTAAGATCTATGAAGTGCACCAGGAAGAATACTTGAACAAAAAAAAAATTTATATAATATACCCCTGATTAATTTTGAACATAGGTGTTGCTGTGTAATTAAATTCTACTCTGTTGTAAATGGGATTTCTCCCTGGTATAAACAGACCTGTGAGTGTGTGTATACAGAGTTTTGTATATGTGTGTGCGTATTTATATGTGTGTATATATGTGCAAGTTTTCTATGCAAAAGCTCCCAGTGCTAAGTAATAATAATTATTTCCCTTGTTCTCTGCAATAATTGCAAGCCTTTTCTAATGTTAAAACCCTTCAAAGAAGCAGGAGCTGAAGCAGCGCAGCAGAACCATGATTTTTGGAAGGCAACCTGCAGAAGCTATGAAGTCTCCATAAGCAAGCGTGCAACACTAGCTTTTCTAACGCAGGAACTGATACAATGAAAACATCATTGTCACTAAAAAAAAAACAAAATCCCCATAGTGCATGACTTCTGTCTTTCCTTCTTATTGTGCAACCTATAGATATCATTTTTAGATTTTCTTTTACTCAGGTTAGTAAATCACAAAAGGGAGATCCCTCTCCTGAAAAAAACCACCTTACCTTTCTTCCATCACAGAGCGCAGAGGGCTTGGCTCCTAAATTCAAAGAACCAGTAGTGCTGGCTGCTTTGCAGCGAGGCCTTTCCCGCTCACACATCCATTTATAAAAAGTCTCACAAAATCTTTCAACAGAAAAGGAGACCTCGGTGGAAAGGTTTGATTTTTTCCAGGTCGCGCAGTAAGCAGGATGACTTTCTTCTTTGGCTCTGCCATCAGTTCCCTAGGGAGAATCTCCAGCCAGTGTCAAGACTCAGCCAAAACATGAGAAGACCTGCCTGGGCTTGCTCCCACCTGCCAGCCAGGGTGTGTGGGGTAGGGTCCAATTGCTGCCATCTGGCCTCAGGGGCGCGGAAAGGGCAGGGCAGGTCTGGCAGCAGGGTGCCAGGTGCTGGCAGTCGACCCCCAGGCAACGCCAGGTGCCCACAGCCCCATGGGGTTGCTCCAAAAGGTCACGTTGCTAGAAGTGAGGTGCCTGGGAGGGCAGTGCATGGCCCTTGAAAATGCCTAGAAATCTGTGTATGGCATTAAGCAGGAGTCTGAAAGGAAAGGCAGGACTTAGATTAGCTTCAAAAGCTTTAAGCCTTTCATAGACTTGACCCATCGAAGGTATGAAGTACACAGAGCATGTTTTGTTGCCAAGCCCAGACCCAGTTTAGGTTGTACAGCTCTTCCCCAGGTCTGAAGCACCACATAGATGCTAAGTGCTCGGAAAAACCTTCCACCCCACTTTGGAGCCTCTTGCCTCTAACCTTTCTGCATTTTCTAAGTGTCTAATCAATCAGCTTGCCATTACCATACTGCCAAAATCCCTACACTGTGCTGCTTTTCAAAGGAGAACCTTCAGGCTGCTGTAGCTGGATGGTTTAATAGCCATGCGCCAGACTTGCGCACCTATGGACTGGTTAAGGCATAGCGTTGTACAAATGACTTGTGTCTGTGCTATCTGTGTACAGATCTGACACACTGCGACAGTGTGTTGCTCATTGCCATGTTTTGGCCAGGCTCCACATACATAGGAGAATAAAATGTCTGCCTTTCAGAAGAGCAGCGTGGCAGCGGTGTAGGCTGTGCCATCTTTCCTAGATTGCAGTTATGTAGAAGCACAGCCAAGACAGGTAGGAAGGAAAGCTCCGTGCTCTCACAAGTCCTGGTAGATGGGCTGCTCCCTGTACCGTGTCCCATCCAGGGAGGCATAAATGTAGCTTAAAGGTATGTTGGCAGGTGCTTGACTTCAACTGTGGCTTTTCTAGGCTTCTGGCCACCAGAAACTAAGGTTGTCCACCTCTCAGGGCTTCGGTGGGTCAGTTAGTATAACTGATCTGAACTAGGCAGATCTTAAAATGGAGATCTTAAAATCACCAAACCTCACAAATTTGTGGCAGTGAAATAGAAGGAGAAATTTTTCTTTCATCACACTGGAATTCCCCAACCTCAGTATAACGAGGATGGATTAAAAAAAGAGAAGTCCCTGAGCAATGAGTCATATTCTCCTTAGGAGACGTCTGCAAGGCTGAACCCAGACTGCCATTAACTCTAGTGGTTAGCATACATCATAATTTTTTTTCTTAAGTGGAACACTGTGCATCAAATAAGAGGATTGATTATATTGTGCAGTTGGTTTTCCAAAGGAGTGCATATGTGTCTACGCTGCAGTCAGCAGTGCAGCGTAGAGCTATCTGATCAAGCTTAAAGGACCCGGACCAGGGATTTAGTGAAAGTGATTTAGATCTTCCGACCCACAGTAATACACCCAGTTTCCATTGCCTCCTGCTTTTGGCCTCATTTTCAAACTCGGGCTGCACAAGAAAATCATACCAAGCAGGTTATATTAGCACTGTTTCACCTTTCGCTCTCACCTTTCATTCTCAGAAGGAAAGTCCATGCAGAGGCTCATGCTGATAAGCAAGATGACTGCCACCGCCTTGGCTGCTCGCTGAAATACAGTTCTGGTATCTTTACTCTATGCTCTGGACCTTGCGCACTTGTCATGACCAGCCTCTTTCTCCCAAACGGCAAGGCTGTGTCATGAGCAGTGCAAAATAACTCTTTTCTCAGCCTTAGGAAGGGGCAAAAAATAAAAAAAAAAAAAAGAAAGCAACAGAATTGGCTTTGAAAACCGAAATTATCCTGTTTTATGGAAACCCAGCATCAGAAAAGCAAGTGGAAACTGAAACAGAAACTTGCCCAGGGAATGACTTGGCACATTTTGAAAAGCAGATTACAAAGGGGAAGCTCACTCTTCAGGAAGCCAAAACTTCGCAAAATACTTGCATTTGTTATTTAAATAGTAAAACCAGAACAATTGTTATTTAAAAATAACAACAATAGAAGAACAGGAACATAGAAATAAAAGGCCAGAAGGATGATCTTACTTCAGTCCCCTGCAAATCGAAAGTGACCATGCGAGCGAGGGGTCTGTTCAGAACTTCCACGGGCTGTTTTGCTGCGCACACCCACCCCATCTGCTCACCCACACTGCAAACTGTCTAGTTCCTGCTGCCCTACAAGCAAACCAAACACCTGCAAGAAGACAGAAACACGATCACTATAACAGTGTGGCACCAGAAGAAAGCAAGAGAGGTTCAAGACAGCTCTGGTATACAGGATTGCTGCAATATGAAATAAATTATTTTTGAAGTTATCCTGCAGGCTGCCAGGTCTTGAAAAGACGTGGCTGAGAAATGAAGTGCTGAGTACAAAGAGTCTGAAATGTTTCTGCACAGATAGCATGAGAAGCATATTAAAGTGTGAGAGATCCGTAGGCTTATTTCCTGTATGGAAGAGAGGAAAGGAAAACAATACAAATTCATAAGAATAAAAAAACTGTATTGGGCAAAGCCTTGGAGTTAGACAGTTTTCTTGTTTTGAGGGAAGATACAACCTCAAAACTCACATTCCTTTCTTACTGTTTGTCAATTAT